CATGGGGGGATATGAGAAAGCAGAAGGCCCAATGCATAAGTGGAAATCAACTTGCGCTGTTAATTACAACTCACTGATTCCCAGTAAGTTTTCCCCCGCTTGTACGCTTTTTCTAACACTCTTCTCCAAATCTGCTTTCTCTTCCACTTCCTGCTATCCTTCCCTCCCTTATTGTTCATTGCCATGTTCTGTGGTTTTCTCCTCCTGAGCACATTCTAAAATATTAGTACAGAGATCAAACTTACAAGATAAACACTGTTTGGAGCACTGGATATACTTTCAGTTTCTTTGGTTATAGGGAAGTACTGTGGTGAGTTAAATGGAAGCCCGGCATTCATTTTGAATAAAAGCTTTTTTCTGAAACAAAAAAAATCCTTCATTGCAATAACATCTGGCATTTCCTCTTGCGTACCATTTTATCTGATACCTTTTCTGCAAAGGATAAGACTCTCTTCTTTATTTATTAATCTAGTGCCAGTAAGAGAGAGCACAACATTGTGTTCCGGGCAAACCCTGTTCTTATATGAATAAGGAAAAACAAAAGAGATTAACCTTTGTGTCCTGTGTCAAGCAGAGCAATTGCATATTCCAATCAATGAACTAAAAATTGGTTCAGTGGTTACTGCAGTCTCTCCAATTAGGTATGTCTGAATAAATTCCCCATGTTTGTGAAACTGGGGAGAGTCTGTTCTGGCTGGGAAAACAGCTAATCATTTGGAATCCTGCCTTGTGAAAGTCTGGATGTTTTGCATTGTTATTGCAAATGAAAGGATGGTTGATAAAGGCTAGCACTGACTTTTGACATAGGAAATGCTGTTCCTTTTTTGCCAAGAGATAAGGTTTGTTAGGCAACATGTACCTTCTTGATATGTTCAAATCCCAGCAGCTGAAAAACAAAAACTTCTGTCAAAACCAATGGTAGTTAATGTCACTCTATATTATTAAAAACTTTGATAATTTTTTACCATAGATGGTGCAAGCCGTATCACAGAAAAGCTATAGATGAGATTCATAGGTTCATAGCTGAAAGGAATCATAACAAGGAACAGAGAGAATTAAGGAGGCATGTGGCGTCATCACATCAGTGCAGGGAATTGTTTTAGCAAGATGTGAGAAGGAGTGAACTGTAAGAAGGGAAGTCCACAAGGAGTTGATTAACAAGGATTAGTTAGGGTTCAAAGAAAACTGGGAGCCTTGTACACAGGTATATCAGTCAAGTCACTTGTATTTTAGTTATTGTAGTTGGCTATCATACAGTGCACAGGTAAGCATGTGCACACATTCCACATTTGTTCAACTGCAAATACAGTGGTACCTCGGGTTACAGACGCTTCAGGTTACAGACTCCTCTAACCCAGAAATAGTACCTCGGGTTAAGAACTTTGCTTCAGGATGAGCACAGAAATCGTGTGGTGGCAGCGGGAGGCCCCATTAGCTAATGTGGTACCTCAGGTTAAGAACAGTTTCAGGTTAAGAACGAACCTGCAGATTGAATTAAGTTCTTAACCCGAGGTACCACCGTACAAAGTCAGATATTCTCAAGGAGTAATCTAAGAGTTTATATGCTCAGCCTTCGTAATATAGGGACCTGGACCTTGCATTCTCAATCCACCATTTCAAGAGATTAATGAAACAGAGTTTCCGAAATGTGGCCCCAGCCACTGGACTACATGTGAAAGTGTGTCTATGTGCGACTCCACAAACACACAGAGCGCAAACGTTTTGAGAAGAGCTATAAGTTGTGCTTCTCCTAGAGAAACTACTCTTAATATATCACCATTCTAACACATATTTTGGGGCACTCAAGCAAAATTTTACCTTTTAGCTGTATTAATTTGATCTCAGTTGCATTTGGCAACACTGCTGAGATGTTATTCCCAGAAAACATAGAGAAGTCTAGACTCCCTGGAAGTACTGCCTGAGCTTGTCAAAATATTTGTAAACCTTAATAAGCACTTGGCCCACACAGGTCTTCTGGATGTACAACAAAAATGAAGTCAATTTCCTTCAAGCAGTATGTACATTGTTTCATTTGTTACTCTGCCCAAAAGCGTGCCAAGCAGGCATTTGTCACATTGTTGAGCATCTTAGGAACATCTTTGATGAAATGCATAATGAGTTTCTGCACATAAGGGATGTTAGGGGATGTATCAAATTATGCAGCACTCTACTGAGTATACTTTTGCTGTGTTGGGCAGGTTTTAAATAAGACAGCACTGAATAGTCAGGGCTAACTATTCTAGGGATGAACAAGGGGCTTTTGGTCCCCTCACCCAGTGTTCCCAAAGAGAGAGAGAGAGTGTGTGTGTGTGTTACCGGTTACCTACTGTTCACTGCTGCAGTTTGCCGCAGCTTTGGAAAATAGTATGTCACATGCTTGGAGCCTAGTGTCAGTTTATTCATCTCGTAGCCCTCTAACTCACATCTGGATGCAGATGTTGTCCAGCCACGCAGCATTTAAAGGATGTGCATTTGGATTCAGTGAGGATGAAGCTGTTAGTGAAACATTGAATCTGCAGGAATAAATACAGTCTTGGTTCATTACGCCCACTCAAAAGTTTTGACCTGGGGAACTGTTGACAGTTGCCACATAATACCAATCTCGGATTTATAAGAAATTGATACTTTAGTTGGCAGTGCCTACACTTCGAAACCCCCTGTCTATCGATAGCTGGCAGGTGTGTTTGCTTTCCCATGCCTACTTAAAACAGTTTTGTTTAAGCAAGCCTATCAAAGATATGTAGAGGTAACAGGGGTTTTATCTCTTTTTTAAAGTTAGTGTTGATCTTAATCATCTTTTGAATGGTTTAAATTTTTTTTTAACTGTTCTTACTGAAAATGTTAATGTTTTATATCATTGTAAAGCATGTATAGGTTTTTTTTTTCCTCCAGGGATCAAGTGGTATATACGTTTTGTTAAATAAATAAATCATTAACTAACAGAGCCACTAGCAGTGAACTAGGCATTTTGGATAGATTTGGGAAGAGAAGTAAATCTTACTTCGATTTCATTTTTAAAAAATCAAAGGTTTGGGTCTAAATGAAAAAAGACTGTACATCTTGAAATTAAAACAGATTAGCAGGTGACCGTATGATTAGCAGTTGCAGATGAGGGACTAAATGTTTGTTCATCCCTCCATATGCAAAGCACCCTGCACTAAGGAGATAAGGAATATTGGATGCAATGTTCATAGCAGCTTCCCTTTTCTTAAGGGAAATTCCCTTATTCTGAATAGGATTCCTCTCAAGAAAAGGAAAAAGTTGACAGCTATGCTCAGCTCGCCTGCTCCTTGTTTGCATTCAGAGATGGAGATACACACACACACACACACACACACACAGGGGCGCGAGTGGCGCGGGTGGCGCTGTGGTCTAAACCACAGAGCCTAGGGCTTGCCGATCACAAGGTCAGCAGTTTGAATCCCTGTGACAGGGTGAGCTCCCATTGTTCGGTCGCAGCTCCTGCCCACCTAGCAGTTTGAAAGCACATCAAAGTGCAAGTAGATAAATAGGTACCGCTCTGCCGGGAAGGTAAACGGTGTTTCCATGCGCTGCTCTGGTTCACCAGAAGCAGCTTAGTCATGCTGGCCACATGACCCAGAAGCTGTCTGCGGACAAACTCCAGCTCCCTCAGCTTATATAGCGAGATGAGCGCACAACCCCAGAGTTGTCCGCGGCTGGACCTAACGGTCAGGGATACCTTTATCTTTATATATATGAGAGAAAACGACACACATATATGAGAGAGAATGACACATTCAAGCATTTGATGCCCTGCAGCAATCTATAGCGGGGCAGTATCTTGATCCTATAATTGATATAAAGTACAAACCATAATCATTTCATGCAAATAGCCTCAGGTACATGGCCAGTTGAGATGACTTTTTATGGCTAACCCAACACAATTCATGATTGCCACTCACCATATCTTGGATACGTGATCCTTGGGTGAAGGATGGTATATAAATTTAATAAATAAAAATATCCTTGCAAATTTCCACAAAAGGGCTAGGAAATAAGGCTTTAGGATTTTGCACCAGCCAATTTTCTGCCAAGCCTAAAGTGTCATGGTGCTATTGCCACATTTAAGTGCCTAATGAAGGATGGCAGTGATCATTTGTTCATTGCAGCAGCCTGGAATTATAGGATCAAGATACTGCCCTGCTATAGGTTGCTGCAGGGTGTCAAATGCTTGAATGTGTCATTCTCTCTCATATATATAAAGGTGAGTGGCAATCATGAATTGTGTTGGGTCAGCCATAAAAAGTCATCTCAACTGGCCATGTACCTGAGGCTATTTGCATGAAATGAATATGGTTTGTACTTTATATCAATTCCCAGATAGTTATTGTGTTCAGATGCAAAATAGTTTTTTATTATTAATCTATGTATGTAAAACATTTCTATCCTGCTTTTCACTTCACAAAATCTTCCAAGTTGACTTGCGTATTAAGAATACTAATGACAAGCAATATAAAAAAATGAAATCTACCAAATCTTTATTTATAAGGCCCAGCCAACGAAATAAAGTCCTAATAGCTAAATAACAGTAGCAATTTGTGAAGCATTCTAAAAGGCCTGGATGAATAAAAAATAAAATTATCCGATGTCTAAACAACCACTAACAGTACAATCCAAGCAGGTCTACTTAGAAGCAAATTCCATTGAGATCTATGGGGTTTACTCACAGATAAGTATGCATAGAACTGCAGTCCCTTATCTAGGAGCAAGTCCCATTAAATTTATTGGACATGCACAGGGTTGCACTGTGCAAAATGAGCCTTCCTGGGGGAGCATTCCATTAAGAGACTCCACAACACAAATGTCCCTTTCATGGGTTGCCCCACCTCTTCTGATCTCTAACGGCGCAACCAGGAAGCAGGTGCCTTGCTTGCAGAGAAAGTTTGGCAGAGTTCTACAAAAGATATCAACTCTCCTGTTTTGAAGATCCCATTCAAAATGACAGTCTTCTTAATACAAATACACTAGAGACATGTTAATTACAACATAGTCATTTATCTTTATTTTGCAAACAAGTTTATTTGGACAGCAGCACGCCGTAACAGTACCGTGAGCCATGAACACAATAATCAATTTTTATCAAGACAACATGAATAGAGTACTAGACACTCCTTTACTAATGGAAATATTTCTCTTTTTATTATTACCTTGCTTCATCATTTCCTGCTGTTGGGTTTCATCACATAGCTGCCATTTTTCAATAGACTCCCGCAGTGGGAGAGATCTGGCCACAGTAATTGCTAAAATACTAGTGTTTTTCCCATCTGATAATACTTCAGAATTGAACTTTTAAAATGTATGTGGGTTGTTTTGAGCAGCTATGATTGAAGCATGGATTCCAAGAGTGATGATAGCTCTTTCAGCCGTATCCTTTGGTATGACATTTTGTCACAGAAGTAAATTGGTGGATTTAGAGAGAATCTGTAGTTTTCAGCATCACTGCTGTAATTTGCAAGGGTCAATACACACATTAGCAAATTTCACTTAGGTATTTAGAATCTGGTCGGAACTGTAAGTGAAGAAGAAGAAGAATGATCAGTACTCGTTTTATATTGTATTGCTTTATACTATATGCCCTGTTCATGTTCATTCCAGGCAGAAGTCAATAGGAATAGAAGCTGTGGGTATTTAACAGCATATGAATACACACACACACACACATACATAGTAGACACAGGGAGGAATTCACTGTAACACTATGACAATCATTCTGTAAGCGCAAACATTTCTGCTTACCTAATGGAACAAGCCCCTATCAGGAGCTCGTCCTACACTCGAGTAGGACCCTGGCAGAGACACATGCCCAACTGGCATGTTCTCTCCCTCCTGGTCGATTGTTGGGGAGCTTCAAAAGCTTTCTTCTGCCCAAACATCACAGTGACCGATGCCAACAGACATCGGCACACTTAGGGATCTGCAGAGTCTTCACAGCTTGCATAACAGACCTCAGCAACTCAGCATTTTGGCTAATCTACTTTATTTACATATAAACACACACGGAGAACTGCAACATGGCTCCCTCTCTCTCTAGCATCCGACAGCAAAGAGAAAAAGACAAAAGACAACAGTCCCACTTCACGGAACACAGTAGTGCAAACATCCTGTCTCCGTCACTTCCCACTCTGTGGAGTCAAAACATATACCGTCATGTGAAAGACAACAATCCCATGACTGCAATCACGGAGCAGGAATTCTAACAGCCCTTTCCCAACATATTCTGTTTTGGGGGGTGACAGAACCAAATCAAGGTTCCTCCCATTCCCAACTATTGCATAGTATAGAATAAGTAAATAACTTGTTCTCCAGACCAATAGAAGAACAGCCCCCAAATCCCTTCTTGGCTCCTGTCTTTCTAAAAGCAAGGTGGTTCTTTTAAAATGAGATTCAGAAGTACAGTGGTACCTCACAAGACGAATGCCTCGCAAGACAAAAAACTCACAAGACGAAAGGGTTTTTTGTTTTTTGAGCTGCTTCGCAAGACGATTTTCCCTATGGGCTTGCTTCGCAAGACAGGAACGTCTTGCAAGTTTGTTTCCTTTTTCTTAACACCGTTAATACAGTTGCGACTTGACTTCGAGGAGCAACTCATAGAACGCGGTGTGGTAGCCTTTTTTGAGGTTTTTAAAGACTTTGGTGATTTTTGAAGCTTTTCCAAAACTTTCCTGACACCGTGCTTCGCAAGACGAAAAGAATCGCAAGACGACAAAACTCACGGAACGAATTAATTTCGTCTTGCGAGGCACCACTGTAATACGAAACACAAGTGAGTGAGAAGATTAAAGATTTTATTCTAAACAGCAAGCAATATATACATACCAAGCAAGCACCTCAATCTGCCACTTCCCTCAAGAAGTGGCGAAGTGACACCCCCCCCCGGTAGCCTCGGTTTGCACAGCCCCGTGGACATCGGTCCGTGCACGAGCTTCTCTCTAACACTCTGCCCACAAACATCCGATTTATAGATAGCTAACCAGTGTGGCTTGCCTGACTAGCTACGTGCAGTCATACATTACTGGCTAGTGCAAATTATTCATTCGCTAACCTCTCCCAATCTTTCACTTTCTCCACACAATGTCCAGCATCAAAGAAGGTATTCCTAACTGTTGCTTCCTTCCAACAGATTCGGATATTAAAGGCTGTTCTCAGCCATCAAAGAGCTTGACAAGAGATAGGCAAAACAGGGGGCAGGAAGGATAACCATGTTAGGTCACTAATTCCTCGCAATACAAGCATCTTCCTAATAGATTGCCCATACAGTTCCCATCTACAGTCACTGGTGAGACCCATGCAGCTATGAAAGGCTGAGGGTTCGAGGTGCCACACTAGCAAAGAAACCCTAGGCTGGCTTCACATTACCTCATGTCAATGCTTCAGTGTGCTCATATCTTGCATTACTTTACTCCTTTGAGGAAGATGAGCAAACCTGCCCCTGCTCAAACATGGAGGAGCAAGAATGGGGCAGGCCTGCGGCATGGATGGAATTTCCAGCAATAAGGGTGATGGATGACTGAGCAAAGTTTCAGGCAACTTGAATGAGGATTTAGGGTACAAATTGTTTAGGAGTCTCATCCTTTTGTCCCTGGGACAAAGAAGGGGGAAGTTCTGCTAAATTGCAGGACTCCTGGAATACAGTGTGCGCAGTTCAGTCAAAGAATTTCTCCTTGAATATACCTGTTTTGTAATCTGGAGGAATATCAGGAGACTGTCAAATGCGTAATATTCTGCCTAAGCCTTCCAACATCCTTATGCAACGCCTTCTAAATCCCCTTCAATCTAGGCTTTGTATATTGTGTGTAATGAATCCATTGGCACATATTCTAATACTGTTTGGGGAGAGTATTCATCATTGTTTAATTTCATTTTTAATTTAATTTTCCAGGAGTGCTTTTCCAGTCTTTAATGGAAAAGACTATAATGTGACATTGGTGGAACGCAATCAGGATTATTTCATTTGAAATGTTTTTTGTGGGTTTTTTTTTTTTTACTCTTGTTGAATAAAGATCATTTCTGAAAAGAGTATTGCGCTTGCAGGTTTCATGCTTTTTTATACAATTCACCACTCCGCCACTGAAATAAAATAAGGTGTGAATGAGTTTGGGAGAAGTTATTTGCCTGAAGGATTAAAACAGATATAGAAATGAATACTGGATATTGTAATGTAAATGGATGAAGCATTTTCATTAACTTCTGAATGTAATCTTATTGGATTTCCTTTGAAATGTATTAAAGGCTGTTTTATCTGTAGGCTATCTTGTTCACACCTGGATGGTTTTATTCCAGAACTTCTAGTTTCAGCTTCTAGGATCACTGAGGCTGCAACTCACAAACTACTTAAATTGAGTGCAAATCTATGGGATTAAGCAATTTCTGGATTGCACTGACAGTGAAGGTTATTACAATAAGGGTTTTGCTTTCAGAATTCCATATACCATAACTGACGGGAGACTAATAGCTTCTGAAACATGCAATGTTGCAAGAAATGGAATAGTCTGAAAAACTTCTGTGCCCCTCTTTTAGGTTAGATTTGAGAATTTGGGCCATTTTTGTTGCCCAGGTTCGATAGACTGTAGCGGCTGCCCTCATAAGTAAGACATAAATTTACCTCTGAGCATCACCTGTGCCATTTATACAAAGGTGTGATAACTGTATAATGCAGAAGAGAGGAAAATACAAATGAACATTGCCAACACATGATGGAAAAAGCTTGAGAGACAGAGTAATGGTGGAAAGGTCATATTTATTCAAATAGGGCAATAGACGAACCAGACAAGAACCAAATTTTGTAAGTATGGGCAGGTGGGTTTGAATTGACACATATGAGGGAAACATCCTCCACTTCCCTGGACATATAAATAGCCCCATTCCATGGCTCCCCAGACAGGGATTGGGAGAAAATTCTCCTTCCCTGCGAAATGAACCTTGGGTATGTGAACCAAACATGTGCACCCAGGCTCCTGTCACTTGTGGACTGTGGAATGATGGAATAGGCTGTGGAAGATGACACAACTGCCTTTAAACCCGTAATGCCTTAGGGTGCCTGTCAATTGAGTTATTAAGCCCCCTTACCAGCCTGTACTGAACGCTACAAGAGGTGAACAGGTTCTGCTAGTTTGCCTCCACCCAAACACATATAAGAGCTCACCTAGCAATGCCTCATTGGAAGGGCACTAGTTCATCATATCACATTATTATTAGTAAAGGTAAAGGGACCCCTGACCATTAGGTCCAGTCGCGGACAACTCTGGGGTTGTGGCGCTCATCTCGCTTTACTGGCCGAGGGACCCGGTGTACAGCTTCCGAGTCATGTGGCCAGCATGACTAAGCCGCTTCTGGCGAAACCAGAGCAGCGCACGGAAACGCCGTTTACCTTCCCGCCGGAGTGGTACCTATTTATCTACTTGCACTTCGACGTGCTTTCGAACTGCTAGGTTGGCAGTTATTATTAGTAGTATTTATTAGTAGTATTACTAGTAGCATTTATTAAATTTCTATACTGCTCTTCATCTGAAGATCACAGGGTGGTTTACAATATAAAAGCACAAAAATCATGTCCTTCCACAGAGATAATATGGTGGGAGAAAGGGGTGGCCCTGGAGCACAATAAAGCAGCAAAAACAAAAGCTCTAAGAGATGGAAAATTAAAAGGCAGAATGATGCCTCTGCTATCCTGAATCTTTTCTTTTGCAGTTATACCCTTGAAACTGACAGGAAGTCCTTCCCCACTTTTGCAGCAAGAGAAGAGGATTGTGAAGTGACGGCCTTTCAGCCCCACTCTGGTTTTTACATTTGCGCGTCACAAACCAATCAAAGAAAGGGAAACCTTAAGCCTCAAAAATACACTCTGCATATTTTTGAGAATTTCATGACTAGCATTTCTTAAAACCAGGTGCAATGACCAGCAAGCAGTCTTTATTCTGATATGTTATGCTGGAAGTGTGTTCAGGAAGCCTATCATTTACTAACCCCTCTGAGTACAAAACTGCAGAGTGAATGATAATAGATAATCTTCCAATGGTTTTTATTATATAGGAATTCTTTTTCCACATATTTCTTTTCAAATTGGCCTGATGTTGCCTCTAAGGCTGATATGATCATCAAAACATGGCCACCCATTTTTCAATTCTCCAAATACTGTATTGAGAAGTGAGCTTTGTTAGTTAATGTATCCAAAATATATGTTTAAATATGTATTTTGAGAGAAAATAACATTGTAACATTTGGATTTTTATAGAAAATAACACATTTAAATAGTCTTTTGAGAGGATTTAAAAAAACAAAAACCCATGCAGATTAATGCAGAAATGGAATGGAATGGAATCATGAATAAAAACATGCAAGCGTGACATGGACAGAAAGAGACAGATTACCCCATCTCTATTTTTATATTTGAGAGCCTCACATCAATAAATGTTAGGGAAGTAAGGGTCTGGTTGGTTTTTGCAAATGTTTTCCCTTTCCCAGAGGCCTTTTTTTTTTTTTTTTTGCTTTGAAAATAAAACCCCATGAAAGTCAGTGCAGGACTAATGACCAGCCTTTTCAAAGGCGTTTTTTGTTTATTTTACTTTTGCTGCAAATTCATTCACTACTAACGCAAACAGGTAGAGAGCAATACCATCTTAATTATTTGAACAGGCTTGTCAGAGCTGTTAGTTGTGAGTATTAATTAGCACTGGAATATGCAAAGCTGATAAGTCCCTAAACAACTACCGGTAGTCAGCCAAAGTCACCTGATATAGCCTATTCATGGTACTGAGCACACTTTCCCTGCAGGAAAAGCAACATGCAAAGATTACTATTGGGTGTAACAGTAGGCACCAAGGTTAGATTATTGTTAGACTGAAGTTTGTTGTTTCTGCTGCTGCTGCTGCTACTACTACTAAATCATTATTTATCACTAATAGCTTAGTAGAGCATGAGACTCTTAAACTCAGCACTGTGGGTTCAATTACAGGGGGTTGGGCTAGATGAACTTTGTGGTCCCTTCCAACTCTACAATTCTATTATTCTATGATCTGAGTGAATATATTTGAGCAAAATGGGTCATCCTCTCTAAAAGAATGTGCTCCCTGGAGAAGCTTGATGCATTTTCAGACCCAGGTGAACACTTAATTATTTGCCCAGCCCCAGTAGGTTTTATTGCTGGTCTTGTGCTCTTACAACTTCTGCTGAATATTACTGGTAATGCTGATTTATTGCTGATGGGCTTAAGGCCACATAAGGAGGTTTGCCCAGTGATGTTTTATTGCCCAGTACGGGAAGGTAAACGGTGTTTCCGTATGCTGCTCTGGTTCGCCAGAAGCGGCTTAGTCATGCTTGCCACATGACCCGGAAGCTGTATGTCGGCTCCCTCAGCTAGTAAAGCAAGATGAGCGCCGCAACCCCAGAGTCGGCCACGACTGGACCTAATGATCAGTGGTCCCTTTACCTTTACCTTTATGTTTCCGAGCACAATTCAAAGTGTTGGTGCTGACCTTTAAAGCCCTAAATGGCTTCGGTCCAGTATACCTGAAGGAGCGTCTCCACCCCCATCATTCAGCCCGGACACTAAGGTCCAGCACCGAGGGCCTTCTGGTGGTTCCCTCACTGCGAGAAGCGAAGTTACAGGGAACCAGGCAGAGGGCCTTCTCAGTAGTGGCGCCCGCCCTGTGGAACGCCCTCCCATCAGATGTCAAGGAAATAAGCAACTATCCAGTCAGATGGGCTGGGTATAAATAAAAATTGTTGTTGTTGTTGTTGTTATCATCATTATCTGAAGGCAGCCCTGTTTAGGGAAGTTTTTAAGAATTGATGTTTTATTGTGTTTTTAATATTCTGTTGGGAGCTGCCCAGAGTGGCTGGGGAAACCCAGTTAGATGGGTGGGTATAACAACAACAACAACAACAACAACAACAACAACAACAACAACAACAACAACAACGTACCTGGGCTTAAAAAACAAAACAAAAAAACCTTGCACATTCTCCATTTATGGAAACAGCAATACCTTCCTTTCAGGTCAAAGTTCCCTGAAAGACAACCTTTCCGAGAGACCTTGAAATGTCACTCAAATGTCACTCAAATGTCACTCAAATGTCACTCAAATGTGACTCCCCTGGGCATTCTATTGCCGTAACTGGGCCTTAGGATCGCAAGGTACCTCTGGTCACCACTGCGCTTA